GTGTAGACCAGGAAAAGATGCAAAGCAACACAAAAATAATTACAAAAAATGGGCAAAACAACCACAAAGAGATGAAACAAAGAACATAAATTATGTTATAGACACAAAATGACTACAAAGAGATACAAAAGAACAAAGTCAAAGGTCAAACCACTATAGTGTGTGTGTGTGTGTCTTGCTCCTGTATAGGAGACGTACTGCTCAGGGGCCAATGGTCTGATAATCTGCCCCTGAGGCTGAAGAGCTGCTCAGCAAGCAGCCACCAAGTGTGGGTGAGCAGGATCCTGACTTTGTCAACTCTCTTTCAAAATAACTCCTAAGCACCATGTCGCCCTCTGGTGGTCTGTTGATGAAGAGCTGCCTGTAGTTATGGGAATAAGAGCTTTTTGAAGGGAACTAGTTTTTATGGCTGACAACACACAGGTATATATAATTTTTTAAGCAGACTATACAACGACTCTTTTGAATGAATAGTAAAATTATTTTTTGTGACATTCTATAATGTGTTATTTTTTATGACACACTATAATAGTATTTTTTATATATATATTTATACTTTTATATTTTTACTTTTATGTATTTTTGACAAACTAAGCAAACTGGTGGGGGTCAAAACTATGGGGCAGGAGTGACATGATGTGATCCCGGACCAGTTTTTCGAAGCACTGCAACTGGCCGGTAGTCGCTGAGGCTGGAGATGTGGGGTTTCTTAGGCAGGGGGATTATAGTGGAAGACTTGAAACAGGGTGGAACAGTGGACTGTGACAGGGACTGGTTGAAAATCCTGGTGAAGACTCCAGCCAACTGGTCTGCGCAGTCCTTCAGGACCCGTCCTGGGATGCCGTCGGGAGCCTTCCAATGACCTATTTATTAATATTTTTATGACATACTACACTATGACCTCTTTATTCATATTTTTATGACATACTATACCATGACCTCTTTATTCATATTTATATGACATATACTATACTATGACTATATTTTAAATACATTTATGACATACTATATTATGACTTTTTAAGAATATTTTTATGGCAAGCGATACCGTGAATTGTTTTACATTTCTATAATATACTAGTTTAAATACACTATGACCTTTTTTAATATTTTTTTTGACATACTATAAAATGAACTTTTTATATTTCTATGGCATACTATACTGTGACCTTCTTCATGTTTTTATGACATACTGTACTATGAACTTTTTATATTTCTATGAGACACTATACTATGACCTTTTTATTTGTTTTTATGACATACTATACTATGACCTTTTTACATTTTTATGACATACTATACTATGACCTTTTTATATTTTATGACATACTATACTATGACCTTTTTTATATTTTTATGACATACTATAATGTGACCTTTTTATTTACATTTTTATGACATACTATACTATGACCTTTTTTTTTACATTTTTATGACATACTATACTATGACCTTTTTTATATTTTTATGACATACTATAATGTGACCTCTTTATTCATATTTATATGACATACTATACTGTGACTATATTTTAAATACATTTATGAAATACTATACTGGGACCTTTTTTAAAAAAAAATATTTTTATGACATACTATATTATGACTTTTTAAGAATATTTTTTATGGCAAGCAATACCATGAATTATTATACATTTCTATAATATACTAGTTTAAATACACTATGACCTTTTTATTATTATTATTATTATTATTATTATTATTTTATATACTATACTATGACCTTTTTCTGGGTTTTTTTACATACTATAAAATTAACTTTTTATATTTCTATGACATTCTATACTGTGACCTTTTTCATGTTTTTGACATACTATACTATGAACTTTTTATTTATGTTTTTATGCCATGCTATATTATGACCTTTTTTTGAAATATATTTTTATGACATACTATACTGTGATCGTTTTTATATTTTGCAACATACTATGACCTTTTTTTTATAGTTTTGTTAGATACATTACTATGACCTTTTTATCATATTTTTATGACATACTATAATCTGACCTTTTTTGATATTTTTATGGCATACAATACTGTGACCTTTTTTATATTTTTATGACATACTGTAATGTGACCTTTTTTTATGACATACTATACTATGACCTTTTTTATATTTTTATGACATACTGTAATGTGACCGTTTTTGGGTTTTTTTATATTTTTATGACATACTGTAATGTGACCGTTTTTGTTTTTTTTTTACATTTTTATGACATACTATACTGTGACCTTTTTTTTTATATTTTTATGATATACTGTAATGTGACCTTTTTTTTACATTTTTATGACATACTATAATGTGACCTTTTCTATTACATTTTTATGACATGCTATACTATGACCTTTTTTATATTTTTATGACATACTATATTTTGACCTTTTTTATATTTTTATGACATACTATGCTGGGACCTTTTTTTATATTTCTATGACATACTATACTGTGACCTTTTTATATTTTTATGACATACTATACTATGACCTTTTTATATTTTATGACATACTATACTATGACCTTTTTTATGTTTTTATGACATACAATAATATGACTTTTTAATTTAGATTTTTATGGCATGCTATACTATGACCTCTTTTTTCATATTTTTATGACATACAATACTATTACCTTTTTTCATTTTTTTTATGACATACTATACTTTGACCTTTTTTCCATATTTTTGACATACTTAACTATGACCTTATTTAGATTTTTGTGACATACTATACTATGACCTTATTTAGATTTTTATGACATGCCATCAATCAATCAATCAATCAATCAATTTTATTTATAAAGCCCAATATCACAAATCACAATTTGCCTCACAGGGCTTTACAGCACACGACATCCCTCTGTCCTTATGACCCTCGCAGCAGATAAGGAAAAACTCCCCAAAAAAGCCCTTTAACGGGGAAAAAAAAATGGTAGAAACCTCAGGAAGAGCAACTGAGGGGGGATCCCTCTTCCAGCATGGACAGACGTGCAATAGATGTCGTACAGAACAGATCAACATAATAAATTAACAGTAATCCGCATGACACAATGAGACAGAGAGAGAGACAGAGAGAGTGTGAGAGAGAGAGAGAGAGAGAGAGATGCAGGTAATGACAGTAGCTTACAACAACATTATTGAAAGTAATAATATTATAGTTATAGTTCTGGCTACTGTGGTACAATATGTTGAAAGTATGTATTAATATCTGGCAGTATACATGTGTGACAATAGTCATATGTGTATAATAACAGTAGAAGTATGACTAATGACTAATGATGGCAGCAGCAGCAGGAGGCATCTGGCAGGACCACGGCAGCAGCACAACCACACACGTCACGCTGTCCAGGCACCGCTGTGATATGAGTTAATCTGAGAGACAGTGGAGCACAAAGGCTGATCATTTTCTTAGTTATTAATGACAAACCATAATATGACATTTTATTCAAAAATTATTTTTATAACATACCATTCCATAACCTTTTTTAGATTTTTATGACACACTACCTTATGACTTTTTATTTTATTTTATCTGACATGATGACACTATGATATTTCTCAAAAAATTTAATGACATCGTATACTGTGATTTTTTTTAGTTTTATATGACAAACTATTTTAAGACTTTTTTTGTTTTATACTTTGACACAAACAATATTTTAATGACATACTAGACACCATAATATGGCCTTTTTAAAAATATTTTCAAGATATACTATACTAATTTGAATGGTTTTATGACATACTGTGACCTTTTTTTAAAATAAATTTTAATGATATACTGTACGGCAATTTATATTTTTTATGAAATACAATACGATGACTTTCTCATTATTGACACATTTTACTATGACTTTTTGTTGACATGCTATACTAATAGAAGCTCTTTAGAACATCTCCTCAGCAGCTGCCCAAAGGCCCTGGCCAATGGCAGCTATTGCTGGCGCCATGACCAGGTGCTTAAGGCAGTTGCCGGGAGTTTAGCCTCAGCCATCAGCACCAGCAAACACCATCGTGCTCCAAAAAAGGTAGTCCTTTTCGTAAAAGCTGGAGAGAAACCCCGTGCGTGTCAAAAGGCAATATCAGGCCTCCTCCACACAGCCTCTGATTGGGAGCTGCAGGTCGACCTGGGAAAGCAGCTGAGGTTCCCACAGCACATTGCAACAACATCGCTCTGCCCAGACATGGTTATAGTATCTGAGGCTTCAAAACACCTGCTAGTGTTGGAACTCACGGTGCCCTGGGAAGAGCGCATCGAAGAGGCCAAGGAGAGGAAACGCGCCAGGAGCTGGAGGAGGAGTGCAGGGAGAGAGGCTGGAGGAACATTCTTTGAGCCCATAGAAGTTGGCTGCAGAGGTTTTGCAGGTCGCTCACTTTGCAGAGTCCTCAGCCAATTGGGCATTACAGGGGTGGCCAAGAAGAAGGCCATTCAATCTGCCACTGAGTCTGCAGAAAAAGCCACTAGGTGGCTTTGGATTAAGAGGGCTGATTTGTGGGTTGCTACTGGGACGCAAGTCGGGGCCTGATCAACCTGGCTGGGTTGCCTGGGGGAGGGTGTATGATGTTGTGAGACCCGAAACACCTGATGATCCCAGGATACATCACTGATGATGCGTCCCAGTGCATCTAGGAGATGTTTCTTGCATAGATACTATATATTTTCTAATGAAAAACTACGCCATGACTTTCTTACGACATAGGCCAAGTATATTATGACTATAGTATACTATTTTTTGACATAGTAAACAAAGACTTTTTTATGACATTTCTTCTTTTGGTAAATTGTTGCATCTTATTTTGCAGGGAATTGCTCAGGAGCACAGGTTTTCAAAATCATTTGACAAAATTAGAAAACATCTTCTCACTGATGACCTCATTTGCGTATGTTGGTTATACAGAGGCATCAGTATGACACTGAAACTGTTTCATAACCACTTAAAACTCCTTTAAAACACTTTCATATGACATACACTGACTCAGTTTGTTATATTTATATTTTTTTTTTATTAAAACCAAAAGTAGACAACAATATCAAAAATCACATAAAACCTGTTTTTGGCTAAAAGAGGACTGGAGGTTGCAGATTGAAGGAAATATTTCTACTGTGGCTTCAAACACAGTTCTACTGCCACTAATGTCCATCTGTAACAAACCCATTTTGATGAAGTTGCACAGTGAAGGACCAGCATTGACATGTGATCACTGAACAAATCATCTGCATCAGTACAAAATGTTTTCTACCAAACTATCAGCCTCATTACCACAGCTTTCCTCTTCTACATCATGAACACACTCACAGTCTGTACATTTATAACTATATATACAGTAATGAACAGAGAGAAGAGAAAGGAATGACAAACAGGAGAATAACTTCCTGTTTGCATCAGCTCAAATCCAGTTGCCTCATTTACAGAAGTTCACTTGTAGAAATCCAAATCAGTGTCAAGTTAAAAGGGACGTTGATGTCAAAGTGCCCAGCTCTACACCAGTGCTTGACCTCTCAGAGCTGTAAGGCACATGGGTAATGCTTGGAGTTAAAAAACAAAAACACATTCTGAGAGCTACACAGTGACTGTAAAATAAGAAAACTGTGGACCTAAAATCATAGCTGGAATTTCTACCTTTGAGATTCTGTCAAAAACGGTTTAAGCGTAGTTTTAAACATCTGAATTGGCTGATGTGTGACTAATGTATCGTGGCAGGAGCAGCTTCGCACGTGTCTCGTAAGATGAAATAACTCCTCGTCTTTTCCATGACACCTGGCAGGGAGTGGTTTTTTTCCCATGAGTGCCTTCACGTGTACTGTACACTGCGTTCTGCCACATGGAGCTCCAAACTAACAGCTTTGAAATCTCAGGGTTGACTTTTGAGATACTCAGGACATTCTTTAAGCCACTTTATGTGTGGGACAGCATACATTGCGTAGGCTGTCCAATTCAGTTGATTAAAATACTTTGTTTCAAATGACACTTAAGATAACATAAAGAAGATTACAAGTGGAAAAAAACATTAGGAAAAAATCTCTATCAAAATCTAAATGTTTGACTGTTCATGTGCACATACAGTACAGAAAATGTTTGTTTTGAGTCCTGCTACAAGTCAACATTGCTTGTAAATTTAAAAAAAAAAAAAAAAAAACAAGGAACGGCATATCCGTTACATGACACTGTATGTTTCAGTGTCCAGTTTTATCAAAGGATATGTCATCTGGGCTCACCCTGTCTGTTACAATATTTGACAACCCCTTATAGAAATGGGAATACTGCTGTGTGTAGAGATCTACTCAGTGACATTATACACAAGGATCTGGTGCTGATGAGTTACGGCGCTGGAACAACCAAGATGACGATTTATAGGATGGCGAACTGTGGACTTTTAGAAAAAGAGAACCTACTGAGTAAAAGAGCAGAGCTAGAGTCTTTTTAGTCCTTTCACAAATGTTCGAATTTCTGTTAAATCTGCAGTGATGATGTGATGTTTGGAGACTGCAGCCGATGCAAACTAAATGCTGCGAGGAAAAAGCTCCACTCCTTTCATCCTCACGGGTCAAATTTCAACATCACTTTCTTTGTCGTTGTCATGGTCACCGTCATAAAACTCGTTGGCTGCCTCCGGCCTGAGGAAGTAACGTTATCGACAGCCAGTTAGGTACAGGAAGATTTGGAATATTTCAGAGAACACTAATACAATCAAAATACTTAAACACATGTACTGTGCTCATCTTAACACCATGCAGGTGTACTGACCTGGTGTAGTTTTCCTCGCCTCCCCTCTCATCGGGGTCTGGCTCGTCTGTGCGTTCGTAGCTCAGCATGTCAGAGGGAACGTCGTGGATCTGGACGCTGGGTGCGTGGTTCAGCATCTTCAAGTTCTCGAACACCGTTTGACGGATCTGCTCCAAGTACTGCAACAACATGCAAACAGTTAGGAAGACTGCACGGAGGATTTATCCTCATGTGACTTATTATCTTTCTGTTCTCAACAAACAACTGTAACTTGTTAAAGAAGTATTCCACCACTGAAAAAAAAAAACAGAAAAAGGACTCTAGCTTTGCTTTGGCTCATGAGGTAGAAAACCTACAACTACCAGGATGCAATGCGCTGCAGCACACCAATAAAAGCTCCCTCTGGTAGGTGATGCTATGAGAACTTGTACTTTTGACACAATGGCGGCCAGTTGGTATCAAAAACATTCATATTACAGTTTAACTTTGAGCTAAAACATGTTTTTAAAACAATGGAGTTTTACTGTTTGATCTCAGTTTTTCGGCCTCCGTTTTCACTGTGCAAGAAACAGTATGGCTCCCACTTCCTGTTTACAAACTTGCTACTACAGCTTTATGTCCATGGTGGAGGCATTAGTGGTGGGCAATATGAAAATGCAGAACAGCCTGAGAACCAGCGAAACTCGACCAGATGATGTAATATGCGTCATCTGGTGGAGTTTTTCTGGGAGGGGAGCAGGGAGATCTAGGCAGTGAGTAGATATAGCGAAGTTTACAACAGTTTATTTATACATACTACCCAAAGTGTTATGATACAGAGCTCGTTGAAAATCAGCGAAGTAACCTTTTAAAGCACTTAAAATATAAGTAATGCATCACTGTTGCAGGTCCTGCAGACACTATGATATTATAACACTGTCACTAATCAGAGTAAGATGATGTCTCACCTGTCTGGAGTTCTGGTTTTCTATCCTGGTGCTGACATCAGGATGCAGCGTGAAGTCTGGAGCAAAGTACTCAAAATACTCTGCAGAGGACACAAACAAGAGGAGGAGGACACAATTAAGAGATTTTTCTCCTCAATCTCTGTGTGAAAAATCACTTCTACGGAATTCTCAGTCCTTCAGCAATCATTTACTCAGATGTAGATTCAAAATGTCATATCAATTATCTTCCAGCAGATGGCACTACTAGTTGTACATGCTCAACATTAATCTCTACTCCACAAAAACAAACCAGGACTCTATACTGAAGCCATTTTGGGCAACAAGAACAAGAAACAACACTGAGGTGCAGGGAAGGTGCATAATCATATTCACTAAACGCTTATAATAAAACACAGTGCTTCTTAGTTTCAGATAATTATACACTGATGAAAACATAATCCTAATATTATCTTTATCTTACTGTTATTTTAAACTCTATCATTACTTCATATCTTGTTTATTTGAGCTCCACTCAGGTAGTGTGCCTTAATTTCATTAAATGCACCAGTACAATGAGAATAAAGAAATTCTTACTCACCGCTATACGGCAGCTCATCACTGATGGACTCATCCAATAACAGAGATGTCTCAAAGGTCCTGCAACAGAACCAAACAGCCTTATTAAAACAACAAAGCCCATATCATGGGACCTCTCTCTCCTCTTGACCATAACACATTTCGTTTGAAAAACCAAACTCACCAGCAGCGAGCTACGTTCCTCACTGTGTATCCTCCCCCTCCCAGGACCAACAGAGGAATCTTAAAACTCTTTACAAACTCCACACATTCACTGAAACACAGAGAGCAAAGCGAACACACATTAACACACATGTACAGGATAAAACAAAAACATCACTGCTTTCATTTTAAGTACTTCATTTATGGTTCTGATGATTTTGCTTGTAATTAAAAACTCTGACATGAATACTCGTAGCTGGATTGCAAAACTCAGCTAAGAGCAAGTTCATAATCATCATCACGATACCACTTATCCAGGATCACTAATGTTAGGCTCAGTGATGGCAGGTAACCCCAAAGGAGCCAGAGTAAATTAAATTTGCTTTGTGATACAGCCCCTGATCAAAACCAGGCAATGTAATATAAGTGAGTCTCACCCATGTCCTCGTATACTGAGGTTGAAGCAGCCCAGTCTGTCGCAGCCCAGAGAATCTGCTCCACACTGGAAGTAGAATAACACACAGGCTTTGAATGTGTGAACGATCATCCAGCGATTACATGCAGCCTTATAATCTGACAAGTTTACTTTATCTGGCTCTGATCTCAGTCAAACATCTGTCATTTCATCAAACACAGACTCAGTGATAAATGCTCCATTAGCTGAGAGGACAAGTGTTAATTAAACAGATTAATCCTGCATTAAAGATTCAGAGATACACACTGACCTGTAGAACGATGCAGGTCGGCTGGTAGAAATCCACCACCTGTTTAATAACCGGCTGGAAGAGCTGCCTGTAGCCTGGGCCACACAAACACAAATGTTGGCCATGGTTCATAGGAGTGTGTATCTTCAAAGCTACTGAGCTCTATGCGTTGTTAGGGTTGCAGCAATATACTGGTTTCAAGGTATATCGTGACATAAAGTTGACGGTTATCACATCGTGTACATTTGCTTATCTACGATACTGAAAAAAATATACAACTGGACAAAGAATCTCCCCTTTATTAAAGTTATTTTCTATGGTGGGACTTTTTACACAAACTTCCATTAACAAAATGGTTTCAAGTTTCAGTTAAAGTAGTAAAACATTTGTTCAACCAAAAATAACCCTTCTGTTTTCATTCCTTTAAGGGTCTTTCTGATTCATAATAATACAATTCTGTCATACCGTGTTACAGTGAAACCGTGATATTTTCTGAGACGGTTACAACGCTACATGTGTTACATTTCAGTGATTAAATCTGAGCAGCAAGTGAACTCACTCTGGTCATCGATGCCGTCTCTGAGAGGAACATTGAGGCAGTAGTACCGCCCGCTCTCTGCTCCCACCTCATACATGTCACCTGCAGCAAACATACAAACACATTGTGTTAAAACACACCTATACAGAGACAACACAGTGATGACATACTGTAATAACGCAGCTCAGAATACATAGATTGCATCACTTTCAAAATGTTAAAGTAGATCAGAAATGCATAAAATTTTATATGCTAAAAGGCATATCATGAGAGAAATGGTCAGCGCCACAGCAGAGCATTTCCCCCCTTGGAACTGTAACCAATGACAGTTTAAAAACACAGATTTGGACTTGTCACATCAAAAACTTAAGGAACCAAACCTGTCGAATTGTGTGGGGCTTATTAGCATTACACTACAGCAAATTGCAAGGTAGGTAGTTCAGAGGGGAAGCCAGGTGTAGCTACAGATCTGCATTTTGCAAGTTAAGTTTAACTTTCTCTTCAGCTTGTCAGAGCTGGTGATCAGGAACAAGGTTTATCTAAAATTAGCAACACATTACTATCTGTTTGATATCGTAGCCAAGCCAGAGGCTCATGTCATCTATTATTGTTTCATTTCAAACATAGAAAGGGATGAGCAGAGTTGAAGGTGAGCAAGTGCGCTAGAGCTGCAGTAAAAGATTCCCTATTACCTTCTTTTGTGTTTGCTTAGCTGTAAATGTTCTACAAAATAAAAAAAATGGCTGAACAAATTAACACTACTTATAGGCCAAATTAAAACTGCCATGCAGATGAATGGCATTTTCAGAATCTGTGCAGAAATGTCCAGACTGTACTCTAACCAAAAGAAAAACACGATCTGATCAACAAAACTTTTCTTAGGTGCTTTAAGTAGCTCGTACCTGTTCCTGGGAAAAAGTAGTTCCCATATTTGTGGAAGGACACAGTCATGACGCGATCTGTCAGGTAAAAGGCCTCCTGAACGCCGTCGCCATGGTGGATGTCTATGTCAATGTACAGAACCCTCGGGTGGTATCTGTAACAAACACACAGAGTTGTAAAGAGAGAAACAGACACAGCAGACACTTGAAGGTTATTCAGAAGAGTGTCTTCTTACTTGAGTAGCTCCAGTATACTGATGACAATGTCATTGACGTAACAGAACCCAGATGCCTGCAAACACAGAAAAATCATTTTAGTTCTTTAACCTTTCACAGCTAAATGTCAACTGTTTAGCATTAAGAGCAACAATAAACAGCACTTAGCTCTGACCTCAAATTTCTTGGCATGATGCAAACCTCCGGCCCAGTTGATGGCGATGTCACAGATCTGGAAAACAAAGAAGAATCAGTTAAAGGTCACACAATCACCATGACTCAGTCTGCCAGTGGCATAAATGTATAAAGACAACTAGATACAGCGCTGGAGGCGGGGCCCTGTTCACTCCTATGAAAGCTGCTCAGTGGTGCATGAAGCCAGAAAAGTTCACCTGCCACTTTCAGACTGTGTGGCCAACAGAGCAGGCACACTGGGACTTCTGTAAGCCAAACCAGCTACTTTAGGTTTAGCGCTCTGCTAACTTGAATGGGGATAAGATGATTTAATCATGTGGTGGTTTTAGCGCAGGGTTCGTGACACTCAAAAAATGCATCTACTGATTTAAAGACAGCTCTTAAGCCATGTATGTGTATAGGAAAAAGTCTTGTGGGCCACATGGCATTTAGTGAATGATGTAATTCTATTGTTTGGCCACAACGGAAATTGGCTTCAAAGCCTGGCACACTTCCTGGGGCCTGACCACAGTAGTGCTGCAGCCATGCTGCTGCTGTCTCAGTTCAACAAAGAAGTGTTAACACTGTGTGAGTGACGTCCAGTGATTTAGGTATCATCTGCTGCACACATGTTCGTCTCTAATCACCAGCTGCTCAGCAGCAGCCTGAGAGCAGGACAGGAAGTTACCATGACTGCAGCTGAAATAATAATAAGATAAATGGCACAGACCACTGATTTTCAATGTGGCAACACTGACTTCGGTTGGGTATGTGTGTGTTTGCATGTGTGTGTTACCTTGTGGTTGAGCTGTGTAGCTCCCTGTAAGGAGGCTCCTGTGTATCTTGAGCAAAACTCAAAAAGACCTGGAAACACAGGACTGAAACAAAAAAACACAGGCACAATATATTTCAGCTATGGTTTAGTCAGTCCCCCAATAATAGTGATAGTCAATCTAGCTACCAGGTGGAGTATCAGATATTTAAACTGTGGACTGGTCACTAGTGTTTCAGAGGGGTAAAAAGTAGGGGTGAAAATCTCTCTACGCCCTTCATGATTAGATTTTGACTCAGAGGACTCACGATGCGATTAGAAACTGGTTATCAATGCATCTTCATACATCAAAATTTTCTATACGTGATTTAGTTTTTCTTACAGTGTGACTACTTGCTACTTCTAAAAACATAGCATATTTGTAATGATCCACTGGAAAGACGGTCTTTTAATTAAACTGGACTGTCTATGCAGCAGAAAGAGGCAAATAATATTGAAACTGGTGCTACATGACCAGAGAAAACAGAGAAAAAAGGACTGTAGCATTCGTTTTTGCTCAAGAGGCAGAAAACCTACAACTACAAGAATGCACTGGACCAATACTTGCTCCGGCTGTTAGGTGACGTAATGCGAACTCATCAGTTTGACACGATGGCGGACGTTAAACAGTAAGCTAAAACATGTTTCTGACAACATCTGAGACAAGAAATAGACAACTCAGTAACAGAATCTTGGTTTATATTTGATCGCTTTTCTCAGCCTGTTTTCTTTATGCAGGAAACAGTATGGCTGTCCACAATTTCTCACTATATAGCTAAACATGGCAATAAAATATGTTTCTGAAAACATTTTAGGCGAGAAATAGACAATAAATCAAAACCTTGATTTATTTTTTATCATTTTATTGTTTAATTGGTGTGTGGTCTGAGTTTGAGAGAGGGAGAGAGACAGAGGGGGGCGGGTCTGTCTCTTGATCTGTTCCTATACTTTTTGTGTGTCTGGTGGCAGCATGGATGGCAGGCAATATAAAATTGCAAAAGTACATCCTGTGGTTCAAACAACAGACTGTGAGCCAGCAAAACCCAGTGAAAGCCAGCGAAACTCCGCTGGATGACGCACATCTTTATGTCCACTGCGTTTCACCAACCAAATGGTTCAACTACCAAATGGAGACTACGAAGGTCTGATATTTTTTGACTATGAAATCATGGGGATTTTGTATGCTATGACTTACAACAGCGACAAAAACATGTAACAATTTTGGGCATCATAAGTTTATAAAACAAACCATTTCAATAAAAAAGAGTAATGCTCACCAGTCGTCTCCAACATTGAATGTGTTGAGGCTCTTTGTGAAGCCCTGCATGTTGTTGGGGCTGACCTTCTGTAGGAAATCTATGTAGTCTTCAGAGTGGAACCGACACATGTCATGCTGAGATGCTTTGTATGGCTTGAACACCTAATAAGAAAAGAAAAAATTGTAGTACATTGTAGTAAATTGAAGTACAGTATGACATTGTTTTGTTTATACTCTTGATTCTGGTGTTTTTCATATTGTTAATGAAGAGTGAGTAAATGTATGAAAAGCATCAGCAGGGTCTAAATGTGCTCCACCATCACTCTGTGCTGCTCACCATCATTTTCTTGTAGAGTCCATAGTGCAGCACCAGACTGTGAGTCAGAGACAAACGGTGAGGCTTCATGGGGTGGCCCGCACCTGGCAGAGACAGATAGTTTCTACATTATGGTACAGATGGTTTTAATGCAGCTTTTATGACGTATTAGAGCCATTTCCATGACACCCAATATTAAAATAAGTCATCTTAATTTCACACAGAACACACTAACAAATACATTATCACTGTGAAATCACTCCTGACAGAAGGACATAGTTTCTGTCTAGCCTCGCCTCTAGCTATAACAGTGAATATTCTTTTTCTTTAAAGATAATACCAAGTAATCATGCAATAAAATTCGTGCAATAATGCTGTTACCATTGTATTGAATGCTTTTTTATCCTAAATATATAGATTGTAAGTCTCAAAGGAGGTATCATCGCGGTTACGGTGCATAACGTTAATGTCGGAAAATTTTAATTAGCTGTATAAATATAATGGTCTTTATTGTAAACCAATATGAAATCACCAAAACAGACCATTCGACAGCGTTAAGGTGAGTGTAGGAGCTACGTAGACCTGTCAGGCAGATAGAGAAAACAGAGCGACACATAATGGGACATTTAAATAAATACCAATACAATTAAGTTGAAAACCTCACGTTAGCTAACGTTAGCAGAACAAACCAACAGCTTTGGAATTTGTACAAAACAAAGCTATGAATATGAATTTATGTAACAGTGAAAACCTGCGCAACAGACCCCCAAATGCAATGCGAGAGCGTGAATTGTTTCATATGGAAAATAAAATAACGCTGTAAGTTATTAGCATGTAGCTAGCTTGCATTAGCATCGTTTCCCTTTGTAGGCCTGTTCGCTACGATAACCAAACTCACCATAATGAAAGTTGCCCACGTCTGGGTCATAAAAATAAGATGTTCTGTTGGTCATCCTGAAAGAAATATCTTCTGACTTTATTCGCAAAACTATGCCTGTTATTGCAGCTATAAACCCCACATTTTTTCTTTCAATTAGATAGCCGCCATGGTAAACACCGACTGAGTCGTCATCAGACAGCGACCGAAATGACGGAGAGGGGAGGAGGAGAGGATGCGGCTGAAAAAATAGAAGTCACATTTTATGGACTAACTATAGACAACAGTTAAGTGTTATAACTTCGTCCACTGACCATTTAAACCCCTGCATTGGTCTTCACTTTAGTTTAGTTTAGTTTAGTTTAGTTTGGAAAAAATAAAAACATTACATGAAATACAAAGTTTATTCCCAGAGGCTAACACATTAAAGCAGTGGCACTAAAACTTTTTAATCCCCACGTTCAGGAAACATTCCAGTGCCCTCCACAGAGGACATGGTGACCTGTCTGTCATCACTGCAAACCTGAACACTCCAATGCAGTTGCATTTGAATGCATTCATAAGAAATTTTTGCCATTGTCGTAGTCCTCCAATGTTTACGTAGCAAAAAATCCTTCATTTCCTTTATCCCACTTAGAAAGTGGCAAACGAATGAGTAGATATGAACATTACATAAGTAAAAAGGCTATTATATTCATACATTACCTGATATATTTATGTCGTCAGAAAAATTACCTATGTCCTTTTCAATAATTTTCTATCATCTCAAGGCCCCGGGTAGGTAAATGTAAAAAATACTTATTTCCACTGTGGGACACAGGGACAGTTCCACAAGCAACATAATATATAATCAATAATCAAAAAACACTCTCAGTATTCTCAGTCACAACTACAATTTTCTCATCATTAAGCACAATGTAATATATAGTAGTAATAATATAGTGCTATATGGCACCTCTAATGTTTTTATATGGCACTATGTGACAAAGGTGCTGTACAGTCCCTTCAAAGATGGGTGCCATGTAACACTAAAGTAGGTTCCCCTATAATTACATATGCCAGTCAAAGAAAATGTTGACATTGTATGTCTCTGCAGACTATGGATACACTTCATTTGTATGTTGCGTGTATCATATCAATGTTTCTGAAGTGACGTAGTATATGAGTTGACCTTGTCATCATGAGGCGGAGGGGCTACAAAGCACTGTTTAAGACCAACAAACAATAAAACTGGTGTTTTGTTTTAGCAAGTCTTAAGTTTGTTTTAGTGTTTCCATTGGCTTTTTAACCAACTAACATGGATGTTTTTTGATGACCTGTCACTGTGTTTCCACCGTGGATACTGCAACAATAAGCGATATGTTTACCAAGACATCACTGCATTTCCTGCCGGGATAGTGCCACCAAAAGCGAGCCAAAACATGATCTGTTTTTAACCATATAACTAAGTGTTTTTTGTGCCTAAACCTAACCACGCATCAATCACTGCCTGGTTGAAATGTAAGGAAATGTAGAGTTTCAATATAGCAATGTGGAATGGCAACATTTACTCACATTTACTGGTGAGTGGGCTGCAATAAGTGCCAAACAACCATGTTTGGGTGCTGTCTAGTACCATTTTTGTTGAAATAAAACTAGATATAATAATAAAAGCTAAGGAATTGATAAATAAATCTACCTGACATGCATTTACGAGTGCTTTCTTCTGCATATGTACAGTTGTATGACTGGTGTTGCCAAATCAATTTATCTTTAACGCACAAAGACAAGAAGTCCCACCTTTATTAAACATGCAAGCGATGTGAATGTATGTGTTGTGTATTAACATATGTTGTACCAACATGCTATAAAAGCTTTAGCTATTGAATCACATGCTTTAACAGATCAACCAAAAATAATCAGGGAAAACCATTAAGGTTTGAGCGACAGGCTCATTATTGTATTATTTAACTTTGTCACATGATTTTTCTTCACATTAAAGTTTCTTCATTTGCTTCAAGAAGATATAAGCTGATAATGTTTAAATTTATGAAAGGAAAATAAAAAAGTCCCAGCAGCATGGTTTTTCAAAAACACCTTCAGCGCTGATCCCAAACTGCTGACACACCCCTACACAAAATACATCAAATTGGGTTTAAGCCGAGACTAAATCTTTTCATTGGTATCCAGATGTTAGAAAAACAAATTGCTTGTGTTTATGTGTGATTGACAGCAATAAAAACACAGCGCAGGTGAAGAATGTGATTTGTGCTGGCAGTGTCTGGTCATGGATTTCAGTGTGGATCATCTTTACCTTTGAGCTATTATTAAAGGATTATTGTGCTAATCAGTTGATTTTGACAGCATCCAGTAATGTCAGGCAGGATGACACGTCTCTGCATGAACTCAATAAAAAGAATTACCTGGGTGTTACTGTGTTTATTTTTTAACACCTGTTTATTAAAAACAAGCGATTGAGGGAGATTTTCCAGATCATATGAGAGACACCAAACTTTACACTGTGTTATAACTCCTGCTGCACCTTTCTTTCCCTGCATCCACAGGATTTAACACACATGCAGTAAAAGCATATGGACACACACACACACACACACACACACACACACATACTGTATTTTCTCGTCTCTCACCAAGGGTGTTTAATGATTTTTAAAGATTGTCTAACTGAAATGTCTTCTTCATTTCCTTACTTTAGTCTGTTTCTCTTCTGTTTTTCAGTTTTTCTCCACCTTCTTTCCACTGCAAAAAACAAAATCTGTGTGTGTGTGTGTGTGTGTGCGCGTGTGTGTGTGTAATATAGTAAGAGCAGATGTGCCCGAGAGGTCTACCAGCACAACCTTACATAGACAGGGTCATGTCAGCTGCAGTGTCTATGCTGCAAAGATGCGTGTGTATAAAATCTGTGTGTGACAGCTGAACCCTTGAGAGAATTTCAGAGTGATTTATTGGTACACCATTTTAAACACCACTATATACAATTCCTGCATTCACATGAACCAATTACAGGAGGAGTGTGGGCAGAGTGGATGATTTAGTCGATGGGAATGAAAAGCTTTCCAAATGTTTTAGGGTTTGTTTTTTTTTTCACTAGGTTGCAGCTAGTAATTATTTCCGTTATCTATTAATGTGTCAGTTCTCTCCACTGAAACACTTAATGTTTGGTCCAGAAAATAGTGGTGATCATAATTTTCCTTAACCAATATGATGGATTTAACAGTTCTTATTTTGTCAGACAACATTTTAAACCCCCAAATATTAATACATTACATTATTCACAGTAATTTAAAACACATTTAAGGTCCGCACATTTCAGAAGGTGTGACCAGCTAATGTTTGGCATTATACAACAGTTAGTTCCGACCGAGTAATTTGGAGAGGCATTCCATGAGTGCTGATATAGAGTATAACATCACTGGAACTTGTAACAGTAAAATCACTCCGCTCACAGGTGTTATAAATATAAATACAACCGTTAATTAACCAACTGTCACACTCGCTACACTGATGCAAACTGACACTAAAGCATTACACCAAGAAGATGGATATTTTCCCCAAAATTACATTTGAATTAAATTATGAGAGGTCGTCAGGAGAGGACGAGGAAAAGGAAAGCCAGGACTCTTCTGTGCAGACCTCCAGGTGTGTTTGTGTAGCATCAGCCGACCTCGACAAACTGGAGAGGAGCAAAAATTAAGCGAAGGTCAGGAATTATCAGTGATCAACTGATGAGGTACTGATGAGGATGAGGAAGAGTGCAAGCTGAATGCCGTGCCAACATCCAGGTTTGCCAACGCTTCATCAGCCGAACTGGATGAAGTTACACAGCTGCAGATCAAATACAAAGTAGGCTAGCTTGAGAGTTCCTGGCGTGTGTGCTGCGTTGCCTGGCAACAGACTGGGGGAAGTGTTTTTTTCGCGGAGCTACATAATATACTTAAATAATTTATTTCATCACCTTATGTTAACATTTCCTTACTCAGCATTGCTGTTTAAGCTGTTGTTGACCTGTTGTATAAAAGCAATAGGCCTACTACACTCGAGGTCGTGACATTGTACTGTATATCGTCACGGCTGTAATTGTCTTCTATGACCGAATCACAGCCATGACGATATAAGTTACAGTACAACATCACTCCCTCTCGTGTGATATTGCTTAACTTTACCAATTAATCAATTATTGATGATTATTTCTTTTGATTGGCTAATTAATGTATGTGCTGATTATTACTTATATATCTTTTTTTAAAATTGAAGAGCACTAATGTGACTCAAAGCCCCACACAGGTGCTTTCATTCACAGTATGTTGTCTGCACCCTACAATTGATTTTTTTTGCACCTGTAAGGATGAAGCAACTTACTCTTTTATTATTCTAATTAGTTAGTTAGAGTTTGCTGACATCATGTAATTCCATCCAACTTCAAGCTGAGCAGAGGTCTGATCAGTAAATAAGTGAAACTACTTGTGTGGCTGTGAAGAGCCTTTAATTATTTTAATTAAATCATTAAATTTATTCTTTAATTATTCTAATTAAATAATTAAATTCAATTAAAATAATTAAAGTATTATGGTTATTTAATTATTATAATGAAATAATTAAAGGCCTTAAGGCACACAAAGTCAGAAACTTTAGTGTTATAGAAAGCACAACAACCTGTTGTCATTCATGCATTTTAAATTAATATATTCTTTATTTGCATCCTTGAGAACATTCCTACCACCAAATGCAATATATTCAGTTCTAGCAATGTTCAGTACTAATTTGTTCAATGTCACCCTGTTATGTAACTCAACTCTAATGTTGGTAAAGCACAGAAAAAAGTTGAGACATCCACATAGATAACTATGTGGTTAGGTAAGGTTGGGCAATATGGTTTACATCATACTGTAAAATAATACTGTCAGACTTGTCCACACTGGCCATTGTGGGCAATGTTGCAAATACAGTGAGCAGTGGTTTGTTACTACTTAATTTAAGTTTATAGGATTTTTTAAAAATCATTGTTATGGTGTAACTTTGTCAGGTTTTTCATGAGACGTATTAGAATGCACACACAACAATCCATATATATCTAACAAATTAGAGCCCAATGAATTGCATTGTCATGTTAACATAAAGTTCCGCAGGTAAGGTTTAGGAGAGTTAACAAAGTCCTGTGTACAATAAAACAGTCTTAAACAGGTGCGTAGGTG